CATTGTCACCGTTGTGGTTTTTAGGAACCATTAAGTCAGTTCCAACTCCTAGTGACCCAGCACCCAATAGAATGAAACTCTGCCCAGTACTATGCCGTCCTCACAATAGTAGCTATGTTTGAGCTCATTGCTGCTGCCACTGTTTATCCATCTAGTAGGGGTCTTTCTCTTTTTCGCTGACCCTCCACTTTACCAAACATGATGTTCTTCTCCAAGGACTGGCCCCTCCTGGTAAGTTGTTCCAATTTAAGGAATAGTCTAGCTTTACTGCTTCCGACACAGATTTGTTTGTTCTTCTGGCAGTTGACTGTACTTTTAAATATTCTTCTCCAACTCCATAATTCAAATGCATTGATCTTTCCATAATCTTCCATATTCGTTGTTCAACTTTCACATGCATATAAGGTGTTTTAAAATACCATGGCTTGGATCAGGTGTACCTTACCCTGAAACTGAAATCTCTGTGCTTTAACATTTTAAAAAGGTCTTTTTGTTGTTTAGTATCATCGAGTAGGTTCTGACTCAGAGTGACCCTATTTAAAGTTTCTAAGGAGTAGCTGGTGGATTTGAACCACTGACCTTGCAGCTGAAACCAACCTTGTCATCCAATGCTTATCCTATAGCACCACATTAGTACTTCTAAAGCGGTCTAAGGGGTGAGAAGTCCTTTGCCATTTTTGATGCTCCAATCTCTCTCACATTTTACTGTGATCCTTATGACTCATCGGTTGCCATTTAGTACCTTGTTTGCTTAAGGAACTCTGCACTAGCTTCCTTCTCTTCGAGGCCTTCCAAACAGCTCTCTCTTATCCTTCTATTGCTCCTCTGGTTCACTGTATTTGAGAAGTATTATTATGTGTTGAGGTTATGTCACATATATTATAATATTTATTATACATATTGTAAGAGTGGCTTGGGGATGGCATCTGACCGCCTATGATTTCACCAAGGGGAAGGATAATCAAGAATCAAACCCAACATCAGACCAAGGCTGATTGATATGAGGTGGAAGTCATACACACCTCCATCCTCCAACCTTCTTTACCAATTTTGATATTATTTGTCTCTCTCCTAACACTCTCTGCTTCTCTGATGAGTTTGATAATTCATTGCAATGGTCACATAGAACTTAGAGATAATATTCACGATTATGGGATTTATTAGGGAAGTTAACAGGTTACAATTAGGAATGAGAAATGCTCAGCATTTAGTCCTTCTGGGCTTCTTAGCTGTGCTCATAGGCACGCCTCTCTCTGATCCCCAGTCTCTCAATCTCCTGGCTTTGCATGACTTGGACAGTGTATAAAGTTCCCTTGTAGTTGTTGTTAAGTGCTGTCAAGTTAGTTCTGACTCATAGCGATGCTATGTAAGGTTTCTGAGGAGCAGCTGGTGAGTTTGAACCTCACACCTAGTTCAAACCAACCTTGAGGTCCAGTGCTTATCTTATAGTGACACAGCTCCTTTAGCCCTGCCAATAAATGCCCAAAAGACACTCCACTTTGCCATAAGCCTCAGCCCAAAGGAAGTCATGTTTAGTTCCATGGTTTGGCAAACCTAGCTCCCTGTGGATAACCCACTCCGCAAGCGAGCTTCCTGTCCAAAGCTCTTCAGCTCTCACCATCTGTGTGCCGGGAAGCCCACTGTTTTGTCTCATAGTTTTGGTGCTTGTACCACCACTTCTCCGTACCCCTCTGGTGTCATAGCTCTGTCTCATAGATGGAGGCATTTCAGTGCACAGGGATCTTGGGGTCCAAAGGAGAGGTACCACTCCTAGATCATCTTTCTTGTTAGTAGTGATGTCCCCTGTTCCAGTTTCTGAGATGGCACATTTAAAACCCAGCAGGATGGCAAAACTGGCCAATCTATGAAAGTTCTATACAGTCCCACCCAGTCATTTGGTGGCAGTTACAAAGGCTATGGCTAGAAGAATCAGATCAAATACATCACTGTATCACACATATGAATTATAAAAAGTTAGACAGAATTTATTTGGTCATTGCTACTGTTTTGTAAACTAAAAATAGCTACTATTGGATAATGTTTATTGAACTCTCACTGCCAGATGCCACACACTTTAGGCATTACATCAGTGCTCTTCAGATTCTAATGTGCATACATGGAGGACCAGGAGAGCTTGTTAACATGAAAATTCTGATTCAGTAGGTTTTGGGTGGGGCCTGAGAATCTGCATTTCTAACAAGCTCCTGGGTCTACACACATTTTTACTTTGTTGATGTTAAGTGCCATCACATTAGATCTGACTCATAGAGACTCTGTCTAGGGTTTCCGAGGAGTGGCTGGTGGGCTTAAACCACTGACCTTGTGGTCAGCAGTCCAATGCTTATCCTACAATACCACACCAGAACTTCAAAGCATTATTTGATCTTGACAAGCCTATGAGGTAAATACTATTTTTTCCCTTCCATTTTACAGATGTAAAAACTGAAGTTTAGAGGCGTTAATTTGCCCAAGGTCACATTGCTAGAAAATAGCAGAGCTGTCTCCTGGTATGGTGCTTGGGTGCCACTGAGTTGGTTCTGATTCATAGAGCCCCTGTTTAGGGTTTCCAAAGCTATAAATCTTTACGGGAGCAGAAAACCTCATCTTTCTCCCTCAAAGCAACTGGTAGATTTGAACTGCTGAGTTTGCGGTTAGCAGTTAATCTACTATGTTACCAGGGCTCCTTGTATCCCAGTTTGTGGTATGTTGTTGTTGTTCAGTACCTTCGAGTCAGTTCTGACTCATAGCAACCCTGTTTAGGGCTTCCAAGGAGCAGCTGATGGGTTTGAACTGCCAACCTTGTGGTTCGCCATCCAGTGCTGATCCTACAGCACCACACATCATAGTATATAAAATAGCGTCTTTGAAAATGTACTACAAAACTCAAGGGTGATTCTAATGCCACATGAAACAATGTATCTTTTACATTTCTCCCACTTTAATATTTTTCCAATTTTATTTCTCTTTATGCAAGACTCTGTATTTAATGGAGATTCAGATGTATTTGATTTCGTTTGGAAAGGTGGTATATAAAGTTTAGAACGATTTGTTTGCCAAAATCATGGCCTAGGAAACATTGTGCTTGATGCAATCTGTATTGAACAGAAGAGGAAATTGCTGGGGAAGTATGCATGTGAGGAAAGGAAATCCTCACATGGATTTATTGTTTACACTGGGTACACAGTTCGCTGGGATAGTCACAGGCAAGTGAAAAGAATGCAGTCCATAGCCTTAACAGATCACATCTTCTTTTACAAATAACATTTTGACCAGTTTACAAAATCAATATAGCGCATAATAAAAAATTTCTGAGTGACTGAAGTCTAATATGATAAAAAAAATTATTGTAAATCCTATCCAACTAGATTTCATATTTTATCTTCAAATTAAAAAAAAATAATACATTTCAAATGGATGACCAAGGACCACATTTACGTAGAAAAAGAAGAGTTTAATGTGGCAATATCTTGCCATAAGTAATTTAAGCCATGGTTTCACCCCTTCAGTCTGCCCCCCCATAACAATTTGCCTTTCCACCCCAGATATACTGAACCTAAATGCACATTTTAATAAGATCCCCATAAGATGGATATGGAAGAGAAACCTGGGAATTTTGTTAAAATGTAGAATCTAATTCAGCATATCTGGGCTGGAAATTAAATTCTCGCAGGGGCGTCAAACAGGAATGAACCTATTTGAAGTTTGATTTAAACACCATTTTGGTTTTGAGGGACATTGTGCAGCGAAATGAAGTGGACAGGGGTGTGGGGCTGGGGTCCCAAAATATTTATTTTTGGAACATAAATGCTCCCTTATCTAACAGCGGTTCTGAAGTTATTGCTGTTGTTACGTGCTGATGGGGATATGCCACTCGGTTTCTGAAATCTTAGCCTGACAGGAGCAACCCCAGGCTGATAAACTTTGCTCTCAAATCTGGTCCCCCGCCCCGTTGCAAGTCACGGGAGCATGCGCAATCTGTTTGCCAGCGCTCCCTGGGCTTTTCAGAAGCCAGTTTCTCTCCAGCAGGATTTCTTGGGGTCAGCTAATGGGCAACGATGGAGAACAATTCAGTCTGAGAGTGGAGAGGTAAACCAACTCTAAGTAAAAAGCACCTCGAATCGAAATGGATTGAGGGTGATAGGTGCTATAGGAGTCTCTTAATACACTTATTAAGGTGCAAAAACATCCTTAGGAGGAACTAAGTTAGTTATCTGTAGAAAGAGAATTTAGGGCAAAGAGCCGGAAAGAATGGATGAAAGAGCGACAATCTGGAAAACTTTCAGTGCTGTGTACTCCAGATGCTCCCTACCTTTAATTTCTCCGGGGAGGCAGGGTACACTAATTAAAAGGGTCATCTGAGACCCTTTAGATTGCATTCACTGTTTAGAGGGTTCCAGAAGGAACCCCAACGTATTACAATATTCAGCCACACTCTCCCCAAACCAAGGAAGCCTCCAGAAAGAAATACTTGGACGCCCAGGGTTGTGTAAACTATGCAAACCTTCGGGCTCTAGGTGGGCGGGGACGCTGGGATCTCCTCTGCTGCTCCGCCTCGCCCCCCCACTGGGCCCACCCCCTGCCCGGGTCTCAGCCGGGACCCCAGACCGGTGCCCACTCGCAGTCGCCTACCCCCTGCCTCTTGGGACCTCGCAGACCGCAGCAAGCGCGGCCGGGCGCGCTGGGCATGCTCAGTCGCGGGAGCCGGCTCGCAAGTCGGAAGCCTGTGGGCGGCCGCCGCAGCTGCGGAACCTGCCGGGGCGCTCAGAGGGAGGGAGCGCGCGACTCGCTGCTGCGGCGGCCGGGCCGCGGCGGACTCGGGCCGGGACCGGAGTCGAGCCCCGCGCGGGGCCCTTGAGCCGCCTGCCGCGGCGCCTACTCCTTTGAGCCCTCGCTGGGAAGGAGCCGGCGGCGGTTGGAGTCGGCGGGCTGCGGAGGAACCGCAGCGGCGGCGGCATCCTAGTCGCCTGCCCTGGCTCGGCCGCGTCCGGGAGCCGTCGGGCATGGAGCCGTGGAAGCAGTGCGCGCAGTGGCTCATCTACTGCAAGGTGCTGCCCGCCAACCACCGGGTCACCTGGGATTCGGCGCAGGTGTTCGATCTGGCCCAAACCCTCCGCGATGGAGTCCTGCTATGCCAGCTGCTCAACAATCTCCGGGCGCACTCCATCAACCTGAAGGAGATCAACCTGAGGCCGCAGATGTCCCAGGTAAGGAGCTCGCGGCGTGGGCGCCCGCGGTCCCCACCGAGCCTCCGCCTCCAGCCGGCATCTCCCATTAATCATCCGGTTAATTTCTTTGTGTAAATGCAAACATCTAGGTGCACTCCGGTTCCTCTGCTTCCCAGTCCATGGCTTTGGGATCCACTTCAGCTTGAAATGGTTTGGCTCTTTTGCTGAACGTTAAAGTCCTGCGTCTGGACATATTATGAGGGTTTTTAAAAAGGTTTTATGAGGCAAGGAAAATAAGTTGTCTAGAGTGCCTTTTGCTTTACTTTTTTTTTTGGGGGGGGGGCGTATTTGACGGGGAGTCAGGGATTTAGATCCAGTTATTTTATAATAACGATGGAGAGGGATAAAATGAGGTGATGGGATAATTTAGGCTGAAGTCCGTTCTTTGCTTTGAGCCTTTTCCCCATGTTTTCTTGAAAGAGGAACCATGATATAAATGAGGACTCTAGGAAGTGGAGGGCGTTCCGGTACCGTTATCTGCACAGGAAAGACACTGGTCAAAAGAGGAAAAGCGAGCAGCACACAGCGGCTGCTCTCTAAGGCCTCTGAGCTTGTGGCCAGCTGGCAAGGGTGAGGGTTGTGTTTACAGCTCTTAAACCATGTGAGAAGGGGAGAGCCCAGCCTCTCCCAGCAGCAACAGGAAGCGAGAAGTTCAGCTCGATTCCGCTTTCCTTCATTCAGGGTTCTGTGTTCAGGTGGTGTAGTGCATGCTTGGCCCCTGTAGCTGGAGCCTTGCATGGAGCTGCCACGTTATGGTTTAAAAGCTTGCTGGTCTGGGAGAGGGGGCTGTGTGCACCCAAGAGTTAGCTCAGTAGTTACAATTCAACAGGGTAGTTGGTTGATTCTGGGGGAAAGTTTTGGGCAAAAAGATGTTAAACACAATTCTGTTTTCTATTTCACAATGTGAGAGAGAGAGAGAAAAAAAAACCCAAATCTTAACCCCAAATACTTTGAACTTAAAAAATGAGAGGAAAGAGTACTCTCTATGACACATTTTAGAACTAAGCTTGTAAGATACAAATGGTAGCTACTTAGCAACCAGAGCAGTGTCTTCAAGAAGGAACTGACTTTATATGATTAAATATTTATATATTTAGAGCTAGAGCACGCATGCTCATCTGATTCTTGAAGTCAGTTTTTCAACAGGGTCCCCCTGTGTCTCACATTCTAAGGACATCCCTTGCCTCTTTGCCTTCAACCTCATTGTTGGCACTCCCCAAGAAAAAGCAGACTTGTAGGTAGTGAAAGCCACATGTAATTAAAAGTGAGCTAGATGATTTCATACTCTCTCGGAAACCTAGTTGCTGATTGTCAACTCTGTGGACTCCTTCAGAGTTCTCCAGGCAGCTCTGGACGTCCTGTCAGGGGCTTACCAGACGTTTTCATTACCATAGTAGCTGCTGTCCTGAACAGAGTTTCATAGGGAGTTGCAGTTGGTTTTCCTGTCCTACATCTCCCCATTTTCCACTTTGCTTAAGACTTTAGGAGGCAGTGTAGGCCAAGATGCCTTGACATCTTGGCAAAGAGTACAGTCCTATGTTAGTTTCCTTAACTGTCAGTGTTTTGGGACCCTCAGGGAACAAGGTGTTCTCAATAATCAAGTTTTCCCTGACAGCTGAGGTTTCCTTTTTTTAACCATCAAATTTTGATTTGAATATTAACAATAGCTGAAAATACTTCCAAGTGTAGTCTGTTTTTTCTTATCCTCTTAGAATAGACTAGATGCAATTCAATTTTTTGATGATTAAGGGTCATCATTAGAAACATCATTAATGAAAATTGAGCGTGTACAATGTTATGAGAGTTCTGCCCCGTACTAGGGGTATTACAGCAAAGACAAGATCTTTGCTGTCCAGGAATTACTACACTGTACTATCAGATAAATCCTCAGATTGTAATGAGGTAAATAGGACAGACAAATAAATGACCTTGCTCAAGCTGTTGAATTAACTCTCTCAACCTTGAACTTTCTAACTCCAAGTTCAGTGGGTTCCATTGTAAATTACCTATGGCTAAGAGCTACTACTGAAAGTTGATTTTGGAAACTATTACCAGAATACAGTGATGTCTATTTTTGCTTTGTCCTTTGCTGCATTGCCATATCTAAGGGCTGGACAGATGACTTTTTACTATATTGTTGTTGTTAAGTGCCGTTGAATTGATTCTGACATATAGTGACCCTGTATAGGGTTTCAGAGGAGCAGCTGATGAGCTTGAACCACCAACCTTGCAGTTCAAATGACTTTGCAGTCTGATGCCTTAGCCCACAGCGCCACACCAAGACTCCATAGGTTGTCATTAAATAATACTTATTGGTGCTGTGGGTTAATGTGCTGGACTGCAAGGCGGCATGAACTACAAGGTCAGTAGTTCAAGCTCACCAGCTGCTCCTCAGAAACCTTATGTATGGTCAGTATGGGTCAGAACTGACTCAACGGCATTTAACAACAACAACTGATTTCATGAAGCAAATTGATTATTTAACATGTCTATAGTTGCCCAATATGTAATATGCCGTCGAGTCGGTTCCGACCCATAGCGACCCTGTACAAGGTTTCCGAGGGTGTAAATCTTTACGGGAGTAGAAAGCCTCATCTTTCTCCCGCGGAGCAGCTGGTAGTTTCGAACTGCTGACATTAAGGTTCGCAGCCCGATTCGTAACCACTACACTACCAGAGCTCCTTAAGGATTGTTTATTATTAGCAGTGAATCCTGGTGTGGCGCTTCAGGATACATGGACTACAAGATCAGTTTGAACAGCAAAGTTGGTGGCTCAAACTCACTAGCTGCTCCTTGGAAACCCTATACAGGGTTGCTATGAGTGGGAACCAAATGGATGGCACTTAAAAATAACAATTTTTGTTGCAACTGGTGAGTTTGAACCACCATCCTTGTGGTTCAAACTGACCTTGCGGTCCAGTGCTTTATCCCACAACTCCACTCCAGGACTCCAACAATTATTATTAGCAACAACAATTAGTAACAATATTATTGAAAACATTTTTTATATTGTCCTGTTGTAATAGGTTGCAGTCAAATTTTAAAACAATTCCTAGGAACCTACTGAATCCCAGACATGGGTCAAGTTTGCTCTTGTGAATTTGGAGATTTACTACTTGTACTTGTGGCTTTTTGCTGTAACAGCCAGCCTATCCACCTTGTTAGGTTCTACTGATGCTATGAATTGAAATAGATGGTTTCCTTATAGCACACAGTTTCTTATGGCAGGAAATAATGGAACGTTCTAGCTATAGAATTTTGTAGCATTTTGAGCTCATTATGAGTAGATCATGACAAAGGAAATGTTATTAGTTTACTGATGTTTTGCTTATTGTTAATTTTATTTTGTTTTTCCATAAAAGAAGCTATGAAAGGATTAACTTCTCTTATGAAGAACATCTGGTAGAGTAGTGGTTACAAATCAGGCTGCTAACCTCAAGGTCAGCAGTTCGAAAGTACCAGGTGTTTTGCGGAAGAAAGATGAAGCTTTTTGCTCCCATAAAGATTTACAGCCTCAGAAATCCTGTACAGGGTCACTATGAGTTGTAACCGACTCCACAGCACGTAACAATAACAACAATCCCTATAGGGCAATTCTTCTCTGCCCTGTAGTGTCAGCACAAGTTGGAATTGACATGATGGCCGGTGGCTTCATCTTCACGCGAGAATAGATGTTCTTCTATTCTCTTCTGCTCTGTTTGCTGAGAAAACATAAATCTCTGCTTAATGATTGTTTCATTGTAGTTTTGAGTCTTGGAGTCTAAAGTTAGTTGATTATGCTTAAAAATAAAAGTGTAAGTGGGATCCAATTACACTAATTGTTCTTCTAGACTGTGTGCATCAGCCTCTTCTTGGTCTTGACATCTTGATAAGAGGACCATCTTTTTCAGATAAAAAATCAGTACATGGTGTCCAATGATGAATCTTTTTTTCAAACCTTCATCTAGAGTTTATTTGTAATAGTTGAGGAAGTAAACAACTACATTTAATTATACATTTAACATATTGTTTTTATTATAAAGAGTGTAGTTAAATAAAATCCGGATGGTCAGTAAAAATCCAAGAATTTTGTTATCTGTCTGTATTAGACGAGTAACCCTAGTGGTGCAGTGGTTAAGTGCTTGGCTGTGAAATGAAAGGTAAGTTAGAATCTTCCGGTTGCTTCGTGAGAGAGATGTGGTGGTCTGCTTCTGTAAATATTACAACCTTTGGCAGTTATACTGTGTCCTATAGATTGTTGGACTCAACTTGCCAGCAGTGGGTTAACAAACCTATATTGTTGTTGTTAAGTGTCATCGAGTCGATTATGGCTCGTAGTGACAATGTATAGGGCCCCAAGGAGCAGCTGGTGGATTTGAATACTGACCTTGTTGTTCACAGTCCAGTGCTAATCCTACAGTATTATACCAGAAGTCCATGAACCTATATTAGACAAGCTTATTTTTCATCAGAAACAGCATTATAACCAGGACATAAAAGCACCCAAATGATTCTTGAAGTGTCTACCTGTAATTGTAGTACCAAGGGGAGGTGGTGCATTATGGTGGATATGGATTATGGGCTTGATATCATTTTTCCTGGTTAAGGAGTTCTTCATGAATTTCCTGATGATCCAATAACCAACCATACATCTGCCACTGATAAGATGTGTATCTTATTATTTTGGATTTTGCTTTATGTCTTGAAGTGGTAATAATACATGTAATAAGTTATATAGTATTGGGGAGCACAGTGGCTCTGTAAAATAAACACTGGATTTCAAACCTTAATAAGGTTGGTAGTTTGAGCCCACCAGCTGCTCTGCGGGAGAAAGATGAGATTTTCTGCTGCTGCAAAGATTTAAAGTCTCAGAAACACTACATTGGTTCGCTCTGCATTGGAATCGCCTCGATGGTACGTAACAGCAGCAACAACATGTAAAGTATTGGATTGTCTTAAAAATGAATTTATCCAGGCTTAAAGGATCCATTTAACAAATT